CACTCCATCCTTCCCCTGGCGGGTCCAGGCTCTCCCTGGGGCAAGGGTGGAGGGGTGGAAGAATGGGGGGAGGGCGGGAGACGATTCTTCAGGGAGACAGGGCAGGAGGGGCCTGGGGGGGGTGACTCAGATGTTATTTTGGTTCCCCCCTGGGCCCTTTCACCGGGTCTCTCAGTTCCTCCCGGCCTATGTTTAGACGACTGTGTCGGATGTGACTGTATCCAGGCCAAACACAGCTCTCGGGCACGACTCACAAGTCTTATAAAGTCGGACAGCTTGTGAGGCCAAGGCAAATGCTGGCAGGTTGGGGGGGGGGCATGCAGTCGAGAAAGAGTTTTGTTGACCTTGGCCTCCTCCGAGGCCTTGTAGAGGAAAGGAGGGGGCTGATGGCGGAGGGGGTGACTTGGCTGACAAGGGGTGGATTGGGGAGACTCATATCTGTCTCCCACGCTGGCTGGGGGGCTGGCTCTGGGGAGAGACATTCCTGCAGCAACATCGATTCATGCCTTGTAGGGAGCCCTAGCCTGCCTTCCCCCCCCCTTCCCTGTTCCAGCTGACTCTGCCCTCAGCAAACTCCTAGAAGAGACATGATTCTCCTGGGAGAGCTGGCTACCCCGCACCCCTGCAGGAGACACCTGTTGCCAGGCAAGACTCAGAGAACTGTGGTAAATAAGACCTGGAAAGGTCCTAGAAATCATGTAGTGCTGACTCCCTCTTCTTACAGAGCAGGAGAATGAGGACTAGTTAGGGAAAATGAGAAGTGACTTTGGAATCCGAGGACAGGGCTCCAATCCTGCCTTGGACAAATGCAGCCTTTCCCTTTTCCCTTGGGCCTCAGTGTCCTCCTCTGTAAAACAAGGGGGCTGGTCTCAGTGGCTTCTGAGGTACCTCTCCAGCTCTAGCGTTGTTGGCTGTTGCACCACCAAGACCCTCCATCTCCTGACTCTGGGAGTTCTCCCTGGCTGCCCCCCGTGGCTGGCGCACTCTCCCTCTTCATCCCTGCCTCCTGACCTCCCTGGCTTCCTTCTGGGCTCAGCTACAATATCCTTTCCCACCCTTCTTCATTCTCTTTATTAATTATTTCCTATTTATCCTTTCTATAGCTTACTCATGCCTATTTGCTTGTGGGCTGCCCCATTAGAGTGTAAGCTCCCTGAGGGCAGGGGTTGTCTTTTGTATCTTTTTGCATCCTCAGTGCTTAGCACAGTGCCTGGCATATAGTAGGTGCTTAATAAACATTGCTTGCTTGATTATCCCAGGTCAAGCACATAACCAGGACTCACTCTTGGGTCAAGGGTCTTTGGCCTTTAAAAGGCTTCTCCAGAGTTTCCAATGCAGTACTCCGAGATGAATTATTGTCTTTATGTCCTATCTCCTCCCCATTCTGAAAGGCCCAGCCCATAGCAAAATGGTGAACTAAGAAAAGGGAGTTAATTTCGAACCCTCTCACCTCCCTACACTCTGAACATCTCTCTTTCTTGCATGTCTCACCTTCTTCTGGCAGAGAGGGGCTCCCCTGGCGTCTTCCTCTCCAGCTTCCCAGAGTCTCTCACCCTGGCCTTCCTTCCCTTCCTGGGTGGCAGTGACCCCTCATTCCCCCCACTCCCACACAGCTGGATAACATCTGTCCTTCGTAGCCATCTGCCAGAGAGGAAGCAAGACAGAATGGCCAGAAAGTTGGAGTTGAAGTCAGTAAGGCCTGGATTCAAACCTTGCTTTAGATCTGCACTAATATTGTGACCAAGGCACTTGCCCTCTCTAAGACGGTGGTGTAGATAGACTCCTAGGTTTGAGTCAGGGAGACCTGAGTTTGAATCTTGCCTGCTTCAGACATTTACTAGCTATGTGACCATGAACAAGCCACTTAACCTCTGTCTTTCTGTTTCCTCATCTATAAGGTGGTCATAATAGTAGCAGTTACCTCACAGGGTTATTGTGAAGATCAAATGTTATAGTGTATGTAAGATATTTTGTAAATCTTAACGTGCAGTGCAGATGGTAGCTGCTCTTCTTATCCCTGGGAAGGAGCTAATGAACTCCCACACATTGAAGTATTTATGATGGTTGGCAGTTTCATATACGCCCCTTTCCAGGGCTATTTTGATCTAATTCAACAAAGCATTTATTAAGCACCTACTATGACCAAGACACAGTTTTAGGCTTAGGGGATGCAAGGTTGAAGATGAAAAAAAATAGCCTTGTCTTCTATGAGCATACTATTTACATTATAACCGAACAAATTCAATTAAACATTTATTAAATGACTACTATGTCTTGTGCTCTATAATGGGATTGTATCAGAATTATAGAGGCTCTGAGTTGGAAGGGACTTGCAACCTCCATGCAATACAGGTGTCTCCTCTAGAACACCCCCTGAGAGAGGTATCCAGCCTCTGCTTGTATACCCCCATTGACAGGGAGCTCACTACCTCATAAGGCTGCTTGTTCCATTTTTGGGATTGCTTATATTATTGGTCCGTTATTCCTAGTAATGAAGCTAGAATCCATCTCCCCATTACTCACACTTGTAGTTCCCAGTTCTCCCCACTGAGGCCAACCTCTTTTCCAGGTAGCAGCCTTCCTTATCTCTCCTCTCCAAATCTGTTCCCAGCACATTTACCAGGTCCTCACCTCTCTAAGCTTCAAAGGCTGAAGAGCTTTCAAGCCCCAGAGCAACGGCACTTGAATGGTGGGTCTTCAGATGCTGTGACAGGTGGCAAAGTTGACGGTTGTAGGGAGCACTGCCTGCCTAGCACTCCATAAATCCCAAAGAATCAAGGAAACTTGGCCCACTCAGCCCTGCCCACGTCACTCCAGGGCAGGCTTCCCCTGCTGATGTCCCATTTCCAGTCCCTCTGCTTGAACTTCAGAAACCTGACCATCCACAGGGCCTAATCCCAGATAGAAGCAAAAATCCAAATTCAAGCTCGCAGGTGCCCACCCAGGGGCTGTGAGCTCCTCCTGATGTAATCCTCACAGCAGGCATTGCCCTGGGACACAGACACCCTCTCTGGGCACAGCCCCAACCCCAGACAGATTTGGTAGTGAACTTTGCTCCCCAGGGCCACTCCCACAAGATCTCTGGTACTCTTCTCGCCCCTCCAAGGTCAGACTCTCCTCACCTCTTTCGAACCATCACATTGGCTTCCCGACTGATCTCCCTGCTGACATCTCTCCCCACTGGAGAGCCACCCTCCATGTGGCTTCCAAAGGGATTTCCTTAAAGCGTAGTTCTGCTCTTGTCTGCTCTCCTAGTCAATAAACTGCAGTGGCTTCTGATGACCTCCAGGATCAGATATAAGCTTTTGGGCAAAGTCACCTTCTTGGCTTTCAGTTTCTTCATCTGTAAAACGAGGCAGGGAGATGAGACTACATGGCCTCTGAGGGGCCTTCCATCTCTAGATCTATGGTTCTGAAATCCTGTTTGGTTACTATGTCTATGTCTATGTCTGTGTCTGTATCTATATTCGTGTATATGCATAGACACACATGTATACGTATAGACATACATGCATGCATTTGTGCATACATACATGAATGCAGGTGTACATGTATACATGTATTATTATATGCATTTACACGTGTATGTATGTACACACACACACACACAAGCAGCTTCATTTTGTCTTTATTTTGCCCATAATAGGTACTTAATAAATGCTTGCCCCTTATGGGGTTGGTTCTGAACCAGGGACAGACAAGGCCACCTTAGGTTCCTGCAAAGGTTCCACATTTAATGAGCTCAGGAAGCTACCACCTGGGAGGATGAGGTGGGGCACCTCCTCAGTTTGATCTTAGGGTCTCACGTCCTTCATCTCTCTGATAGGGAGAGACGGTTGGAAAAATGGAGGAAAGCCTATCTGGTGGAGGAGGCATATTTGGCCTGTAGAAAGGGTGGACCCCAGGCTCTTGTTATCTCAAAACTCTCTGAGATATCGAGTCAACGTCCTTATTGTATAGAGAGGGAACCGAGACCAGAAGAAGGGAAAGGAACTCATGCCGAAATCATAGAGATGGTTGGGAGCAGAGCTGGGTCTTTGGGTCCCAGTCTGATCTGAGGCTTACGGGCCTAGAGCTGAGAAGAGCTGTAGAGATCCAGCCTCCTCCAGGTTAATGTGAGGAAACGAGGCCCAGACAACTTGTGACTTGCCCAGGGTTACAAGGCCAATGCTTCTAAGAGGGGTGGGGTGGGTGGTTCAGGTCTTCCCGATTCCAAGCTCAACACTATCCACTCAACGCTGCTGACACTTTCTAACTTTAGCTGGAGAAGAAACATCTGGTTCTCCCTTCCATTAGCTGACCACCTGTCCCTGGGTGGCTAGGCTCCAGAGACAGAGTGTCTCGTGGTTTGAATCTCTGCTCTTCCCTTCCCTGCAGTAAGGGATCATTGATTTATAGCTGGGAGGGCCCTCAGGGGTCAAGAACACTCCTTTCATTTTATAGATGAGGAATGTGAGTCTGGGAGAAGAAGAAACTTGCCCAGGGTCACATAGGTACTAAGTGTCGGGGGCAAGATTTGAACACGGGTCTCCCCCATACCCAAGTTCTCCCTTTGTTTCCCCCAGCTCCTCCATCAGAATCCAGGGACCTGCTATAGGGTCAAGTTAGCCGCCTCCTGTTTTTACATCTGTTTCTCCCTTCTCGGGCCTTCCCTCCACTCCCATAGATGACGCCTAGCCTCAGAATAACCTGGGGGGAGAGGACTGTGCAGCTCCAGGACAAGTCTTGGATGCTGGGAGGATGGTGGGGGAAAGGGGAGGGGGTGACCTAAGAATACCCAGACTATCAGGACATTGGCGCGCTTCTTTGGTGGAAGGTTCCAAGTGGCCCAGGCTCTGGCCAGCCCAGTTCCAAGGTACAGGCAATGGGAGGCTTAGGACATGGTTGGCAGTGAGACAACCACCCTTGCTCCAACAGCCACAGAAGTATGTAAATGGGGAACACGGCCTCCTTATTTATGAGATTCTGCAATGCATTTTTTATTCCCAGAATGAGCACTAATGAAAATATGAAATGTTTCTTCGATGACATGGTCTCCATCTAGAAAGTACATTCCTTTGAGAGGAAGGCAAGAAGAGGGCGTGGGTGCCATGCGCTACGCATCCATCGTACACTCTGTCTTGTTTCCTCACATGTCACACATATGTCAACATCCTCATACACTGACATGTGTCTCATGGTGTACGTGTGTGTCGTGTTTCTCTTTGCACTACTGTGCTCCCATCAGTTTAAACATACAATGTGTTTCCCTGCACTGAACACATCGTACAGACATATGTCATGTCCCATTGTGCTTTGCATATCATCATTGGATGTACGTGCTGTGTGGCATAAAGTGATAGCTACCTGTCTAAGGGGTCGTGCCCTTGGAATTGCCTTTGTACAATGTTCAGGACAGTTTGTGAGCAGTTACAGACTGAATCAGGGACTTTGGATGGTGACGGAAGCAATGATTGATTATTGTGACCAATTGTGGAAGGATTGGGATGGTCACTGAAATAATGGTTATTAAGTAGATGACGGTAGTGATGGCACTGATGGTGGAGAGGTTGGTGATGATAAAGACTGTTGCAGTCAGTCGTGATGGTGGTGGTGGGCATAGTGACAGGAATGACTGAGAGGTAGTGATGGTAAGAGGTGATAGAGGTCCCGGTACTGACTGTTAAGCCGATCATGGCAGCCGTGGCAGTGGTAATGCGGAGGCCGGTGATAATGACAGTGATGTTGGAGTCGATAGTGGTGGTGATGAGGTCGTTGTAGATGATGACACTGATTATGGGAGTGGTTGTGGTTGTGACGGTAATGATCGCAATGGGGAGATTGGGGATGAAGGCACTGGAGAGGATGACAGTGGTAACGATTATGCTGGTGGTGGTGAGGGTGAAGATGGGGATGGTGAGGAGGCGGTCAATGATGGTATTGATCGTTAATGCTATTCATGACGGGGGCTATGATAATGACTTATAGTGATGAGCTGTGACTATGGAACAGCGATTGTGGGACTGAGTCTCTCATTAGTACTGTCTCCCACAGGATGAATAATAATGCGCAACAAACGATAAAAACAAAGCCAAAACTCTACGTGGTCTTTCAGTTTGCTGCCATTGGTGTCGTGGTAAGGCTGATATACTTGAGGAAGGAATGCTGTGGACCTGATACTTGGTTCTTCGTCCTGCAGAAGGACAACAGTGACAAGGAGAAACATGGAGGATGAAATGAGATGTAGGCTACCAGCTGGCTGGAGAGCCTCCGCAGGAGTGCGATGTGGTGAGTGAAGACCCTGGAGATCATGCCTTATGAAGACTGCTTGAGGCATCTGGGCGGGTTTAGCCTGGAGAGGAAGAGACTTAGGCCAGGCTGACTTCAACCATCCAAAAGTCTGTGGCATTAAAGAGAGGTTAAACTTGTTCTTTTGCACGGATGCAAAAGTCAAAACCTGGAGCCGTGGTTGGGAGTCTTAGAGAGGAAAATTCAGGCTTGATGTCAGGAAAGAGTTTCTGATAATTCAGGCTACACCAAACAGCAATGGACTGCCTTAGGCAGTGGCAGGTTCCGTTCCTAGGGGGGCCCAGGCAGAGATTGGACGACCACTCGTCGTCTCACATGTCCAATCCAACTCAAAAATTTTATGAAACCGACATAACCTTTGCTGTGACCTTCCTGTGAGATCCCCCTTGTTCCAGTGGGTGAGGCAAGAGGAGAAGGCAGTCTTCATTGTTTGGAGAGAGAAGTGGATACAGGAAAAGTTAAACAAATAGTGTTTGATTCAGGAAGAGCTAAAGGAATGGTACAGATAGGAAGGGCAGCAGAGGTTCAGGGGAGAGGGGGCTGAAGTAGCCAAGAGAGGCTTCCTGAAGGAGGTAGAGGTCTTAAAGATTGGGCAGGATTTGGATTGGCTGAGAGGAGGGTGGAGGGTCATTCCAGATAAGGGGGGTGGTGTAAGTCAAGGTGGGAAGGAATGCACGTGGAGCATGTAGGAGCCAGTAAGCCCAGTCTGGCTGGAGCATAGAACTCATGTAGGGGAGTAGTTAGGAGATAAGGTTGGGGAAGAAGGGTGGGGTCAGATTGCAGAAGGAAGGCTTTGAATGTATCCTGACCCTACCCAAGGAAACACCCTCTCTTTGAACCCCTCTCGGTTTCTCTTTGGTTTCCCGAGAAGGGACCCCACTCCACAATCCCAAGTCTCAGCCTTGTCCAAACCTCAGTCCAAGCTTGGCCCGGTTCCTTCCCTCTTTTCCCACTACGTTTCCCTAACCCGGTATCAAGCAGGAACAGCCACTCCTGTTCCCTGGCCTATACATTGCTCGAATAGTTTCACTGTCTTATTGGAGGGTCTGGCTGTCATAGCTACTTTGCCAAATTTCCCGGAATGAGAGCCTCATAAATCAAGCCTACCTCTTCCCTAATCAGTTTAATTGCTCTCCGCTGAGCCCCTCCTGTCTGCAAAGCTATTTCCGGGGGCCCTGATGGGTCCCAGCGAGAGCTGGGCAGAAAGTGTGGAAGGAGGCATGGGCTGCCCCTTGCCTTTTGTAGCGGGGCAGCCAGCTCTTGGCTCCCTTCTTCCACTCATGACCCAACCAGGCCTCTTCCGAGACTTCCGATGGCTTTCCAGAGCCACGCAGACCTGTGTTTTCAATCATCCTGGTGGAGAAGAGGAAAGCATTTTTCCAAGCCCGAGTCCCAGGCAGTACCTCTTTTCTCCCGATGATTCCTTCCTTTCCTGGCTCCAGACAAAAGACTAGTGAGTTCTCTTAGGGCCTGGATGGTGGAGAGGCTGAGGGAGAAGAGAGAGAAGGCAAATAATACCCAGAAAGACAAAAGACAAGGAAAGACAGTGGGCCTGGGATTGAGTGCTATAGGGGACCCCTGAGTGAGCAAACTGCCTCTCCCCATGCTAGCTGGCACCTTCCAGATACTTAAGGAACTCCCATAGGAGAAAGCCCCTTCTACTAATGCAGGTTAGCATCTTCTGTGGTGCTTATGATCTTAGGGTGCTCCCTGAAGCCCTGAGTGCTTCACTCCCTCAGAGTCACACAGCTAGTATCTATCAGGACTCGAACCCAGGTTTGTTTGTTTTTTTAAACTTCAAGGCTGGTCCTCCATTCACTATGCAGCGCTACCTTTTAATAAGGCTAACTTAAGTAATAATAGCTAACTACAGTCCTTCAAAGCTTACAAAGTCCTGGGCGGTAAGAAATTAATGCCTTGCACCTCCTCCTGCTAAGAAGCACCTGCAACCGTGCAGGCAACGGGATGTGCTGCTGGATCTGGCATCAGATGTCCTGGCTTCAAATCCTGCTTCTTCCTCTTAACTCATGTTTGACTTTGGGAAGGTCACTTAATAACCTAATTTCCTCATCTGTCAAATGAGCAGGTTTGGACTAACATCTTCTAAGTTCCCTTTTTTGTTCAGTCATATCTGACTCTCTGTGACCCCATTTTGGGGTTTTCTTGGAAAAGATTCTGGAGTGGTTCGCCATTTCCTTTTCCAGCTCATTTGACAGATGAGGAAACTGAGGCAGAGTTAAGTGACTTGCACAGGGTCATACAACTCGTAAGCGTCTGAGGCTGGATTTGAACTCAGGTCTTCCTGACTCCAGGCCTGGCACTCTATCCACTGTACCACCTAGCTGCCCCCAGGTTCCCTTTACATTAAACTGTCCGGTTTCGTGGTTCTAGGTGGTACGATGGATAGAACACTGGCGCCTGAAGTCAGGAAAGCATAGATTCGGATCCAGCCTTAGGAACTTACTGTGTGACCTAAGCAAGTCACTGAACCTCTATGCCTCAATTTCCTCATGAGGGATTACAAATTTGAGTACATATAGTATATTTATAGAATCATATATATGATCATATATAATTATATGATTATATTATGTATATATATGAAATATGTATTTCCTCAATGGGGATTATAGGAATATGTACAAAACAGAAACAAAGTACATTGAAGGCAATCTGGGAGGTGGGAGGGAGGGCTCTAGGATCTGGGAGATCAGGAAAGGCTTCCTGAAAGAGATGGCCTTTGAAATGAACTTTGAGGAAAACTAGGTATCCTATGAGTCAGAGGGTAGGAGGGAAGCTTGGAAATGAGATCATGACATGACCTGGACCTGGGCCTCACTTGGGTTCTGCCCCAGGTTGACTGTGCGATTTTGGGTCGGTTCCCAACATACTCTCTGGGGAAAGAGGCCTGGACTGGGAGTCAGGAGACCTGGGAAGGAATCTCAGCTTAGCTGTTTGCTCTCTCAGTCATTGCCCTTTCCTGGACGTCGGCTTCTTCTTTTGCAGAATCAGGAGGCTGGATCATGGGCTCTTTCGGTTCTAGTTTCTCTCACTATGACTCCTCTATTCTGGGGCCCATTGCCTTATTTGCTAAAGGACTGCGGTGGACTAGATGAAATGGAAATTCTTTTGCAGCTCTAGATATCATGATGATGCCTATCTTTCTGGGCTTTAGTGTCCTGCTTAATAAAGTAGGGTTAACATTCCCATTTTAAGTCCCTCCCAGTACTAATGGGAGGATCAAAGAAGCAACCATGGGATGGGGAGAGGGCTTGGAAAGACTTAAGAGCCCCAGGCCCATAAAGGATTGATGGGATAATCATTCTTCTAGCTGTCCTCCTCTGGACCTTCCCTGGCTCATGGAGCCCTGATGTATAGAGGCTTTTCCTCTTCTTCAGGCCTAGCGCCTTCCTTTCATCCCCAGGGTTGCCTGAGCTCCTGGCGTGTTCCCCAGGCAAGAATGAAGCCTCATCCTCCCCAACACAGTAAAGGAACTTGTCTGACCTGGGCCCTCTCCTGACATCTGTCCACAACTGGATGTGAGGCCATTCATCATGGCCCCTGGGGCCCCTTCCTGCTGCCAACATTAATTTAATCCATGTGATGGAGCTTGGCGCCAGGGCAACAGCAATGAACTTTGCACTTGGAGCCCTCCCCAGGCGCCATATCAGCTCCTTTGATGACACCCAAATGTAGATTTTCTACCGCTCTGCCTTCATCTCTGACCACCCCAGCCCACACTAATCGCTTCCTCCCCCAAATGCCTACAGCCCTTATGTCATTAGGCATTCAATCAAATACGGCTGTGCAGTGTAAGGTTGTGTTTCATCTGCGCGGGGTTTGTCTTCCTACCTAAGCTTTGAGCTGCGGACCTCCATGGAAATATGGAACAAGATGGTGGGGACTTTGGGGCAACCTTTGCCCAGGAGTTCCAAACTTGGGTATTCCAGAACCCTGGTGCAGGTGTGGGCCAAGGAATTATTGCTGGGGGGTCCATCTCATTAACTGGATTGGCAGAACCAGCAAGCAAACCTTCAGAAAGAAATGGCGCCAATAAATTTATAATCTGTTCTGGTGAATAAAATGTTAATTCATTTAAAAGTATTATGAGCCCCAAAGGGAGACCTTGTAGGGTGGTGCATAGAAAGATAGTCTTGGAGTCACAGGATTGCAGATCTTGAGCTGGAAAGGACCTTAGAGGTTGTGAAGTTGGATTCCTTCATTTAATAGTTGAGGAACTGAGTGAGGCCCAGAGGGTTTACACGCCCAAGGTCACGTAACCACTAAGTGGTTACAAAAGAACCCAATTCTTTTGTCTCCAAATACTGTCCAGTCTTTTGCTGCATCAGGAACACACGGGTTCTAGTCTTGTCTCTGACACACGATATCATGGAAAGTAAGTCATTAACCCTTAGTAGAATGCAAATAATCTGAGAGAAAAGCCTTTTTCCGTTTTGGATTTTGTAGACCCAGTACTAAGCACAGGGCCTGACACAGAGTAGGTGCTCACTAAATGCTTGTCAATTGCTGGATAGATCATGGTGGTGTAGGATTACCTGGATTTCCACTAGTCACTTGGCAAAGTCTCCTGATAACGTCCTTGTGGTCAACCTGAAGAATTGTCGTTCACCCTTCATTTTTCAAAGAACTACCAATGACATCACAATGAGTGATGTCTTGACTTGCGAGTGAATTGGATTTAAGTGAGGCAGAGTCACATAGAATCATCAGCCTCTCCCTTCCAGAGTTGATGAAGTCTAGTAGCAAGACAGAAGTCAGATGGGTGGTGATGGCTCAGGATGCAGTGGATGGCTTCGGCGTCTTTGACGTCTGACCAAGCTCTAAGAGCTCCGCAGCACCTGCAAACTGGATAGTGATAGAGTTAGAAGCCTTTGGAATTTTTGGATGAATTGACTCGAAGAGTGTGGATTAAGGGGCCAATGTCAGCCTTGAGGGAAGTCTTTAGGTGAGTACCATAGGAATCTGTCCTCGGAACATACATCTTTTAAACATTTTTATCAATGCTATGGATGAAGGGCTAAGAATAATACAGTTACTAGCATTTCTACGGTTCTTTGCAACAAGTTTTATAGATATTATTCCATGGGGCTGTGCTTCTCAAAACTGTAACTGACAAGAGGCTGATCGGGATAGGGAACATAATTTCTTGGATGAGAGAATCAGGATGAAGAAAGATCTGGAACAAATTGGAAAGTTCAGCTGAATTGTCTGTAGTATTTCATGATTTAATCAGTGTAGGCACTTCTATCCCTGCAAATCACTACCTTTCTAGACTTGGTGGGCGGTTCTTGAGAGCTGCCAGAGCCAACAAATTCATCATTCCAGAGTCAACTTTGGACTGAAACTCTGCAGACTCACTCACCTTGGCTGGTCTTTGAACTTCATAAGCAAAGTCGATCTCTAGAAAAATGTTCAGTGGAGTCTAGCAAGGTTATATTTAATACAAATAAATTAAATACACTTCACACAAACACTGTCCATATGATCCTCACTGGTGGTCACCCAAGGTCAAGAGAAAGGCTTCTGGCAAGTGGATCCTTTGTGGTGGATTTATGGGAAGCAGCAAGCATTTATTAAATGCCTACCGTGTGCCAGGCACTGTGCTAAACACTTTACACATTTTTTTAATTGGATCCTCACAACATCTCTATTATTATTCCTATCTTATTGTAGTCAAGGAAACTGAGGCAGACAGATGTTAAGTGACTTGCAGCTGATAAGTGTTCGAGGCGGGATTTGAACTCAGGTCTTCCTGACTTCAGGTGCCCCACTCTATGCGTTAGGCCACCAAGCTGCATGGAGAACCGGACGAGAGTTGGCCAGGGTGAGAAGGGGTGCGTGGGTTGCCGTCTTTGGCATTGAAGGAGATGTCTGTATCCGCAAGATCCCAGATCAAATGAAATATCAAAATACTGAGTCTTATCCTTGGGTTACAAAAGACCACCTGTGCATAGGCAGGATGGGGAAAAGATGTGATGGGAAAACAAAATAACAAAACAAAAGAAAACCTGAGGGTCTTAGTGGTTGGCAGCTGAGAATGAGTCTACCCTGAGAGATGTCTGCCTGAAACAAAAGTGACCCGACCGAAAAAACAACAAACCAGAAACTAGTATGATCTCAGCCGCATGAACCGAAGCACAGCCCGGGACTCCGGGCCAGCCTTTCCTAAGCCCCTCTTTTTTTTTTAAATGCTGCATAATTGATAGTGTTGACAGGAAGGGAGAGCAAGAGATTCCAGTGTGAGTCCTTCAGGATCGAGCAGTACCTTGGGTGTGGTCACTTGGGTGGCTTTCCCCATGGGTCAGGTTTGTCCTTGGGAAAGAACCTCGTGTAGGAGCCTGTGCTGCGTGCAGCAGGAGGTCCCAAGGGTCATTAGATCCTAAAGGAATGGGGTGTGATGAGGCTGCAGAACTAGGTCAGCTCCAGCTCCATCCTGGATGGCAGCTTCCCTGTTCTCCTGTCCGGTCTGGGCCGGAGGCGGGGGCTCCCTGACACCTCCCGAATAGTGAGGAGAGAGCAAACCATTATTGCCCACGAGCTTTAGCTGAAGGGGATGTTTAGCCTGGAGAAGACGTGACCATTTTCTTGAAATATTTGGCAGGTTGTTATATGGAAAAAGGATTACCCTTACTCTGCTTGGTCTCAGAGGACAGAACAATCAGTCCACAAGCATTTAGCAAGAGCAGACTTCGTGTCTGGCACGGTGCTAGGCACTGGGGATGCAAGGACGAAAAGGAGACAGTACCTGCCCTCAAGGAGCTTACTTTCTATTGGGGGAGACACATCTATATCTATATCTATTTATGTCTATACAGAATATATGCAAAATGAATGCAAGGCAAAATTGTCAGGGGGTGACTACTGACTGGGGAATGAGGAAAGTCTTTCTGGAGAAAATGGTGCTTGAGCTAAGCCTTGAGGGCAACTAGAGATTCTAAGGGGTAGATGTGAGGAGGTGTGCATTCCAACTGGTCAAATGAGATCTCTCTCTCTCTCTCTCTCTCTCTCTCTCTCTCTCTCTCTCTTTCTGTCTCTTATATTCCATGTAATATATAATATTATAATTTGTTCTATATATTATATAGAATATATAATATTCTATATAATAAATTCTAATATATCTTCTATAAGTATATTGTACATAACATACTAATGCTTAAAGAAAATAATATATAATGTAATACATTATGCACATAATTACATATATAATGTATAGTTTATATATATATATATATATATATATATATATATATATATATATAATCAAGTATATTCTATGAGGGTAGCCTATAATTATGCTTATAGAATATGCTAAAATAGGTGTATACTACAGAACATGTATATTACAGACTTATAGAATATACTTAATTACTGTTGTTTGTCCTTCATTTGTGAAGAGGACCAATGACTTCATGGCGTGATGTCTTGATTTGCACATGAATTGGATTTAAGTGAAGCAGAGCTGCACAAAGTTGTCAACTCACTTTCTCTTCCAGAGTCATTGAAGTCCAGAAGCCAAGATGCCTAGTGATGGCCTGGGATGCCGTAGATGACCTTGGCATCTTTGAGGTCTAACCTAGCTCTAAGTGCTCCACAGTGCCTGCTTCAACTACCTTTGTGGCTTTTGGAACAAATTGCTCTCATCTGCCCATTCCACTGGGGGATGTCTTCACATGCTTGAGGTAGATGTCACCAATGGGTTTGAGGCCAGTCAATTACCATCAGCCTGGTTAAGTCCATCTGCTGAGATGGTTTACTGAGGTGTGGCTACTGTACTTGCTACAGCTTCTTGGAGCCCCAGGTGGGAGTTGGGTGGAACAGGTGGACACCAAAGGTAGATGAGCAGCCCTGAAAAGGACTCAGCAGCCCTCACACTAGAGGGGCTAGTCTGAATGCCCTATATACCCCATGCTTAATTATAGATAATAATATAACATATAATATGATGGTATATTGTATAAAATTAAGTGTATTTTATAGGTACATTGTGTAATAATAATTTTGTTACATTAGTATATCTAGACCTATCTATCACTTTGCAAATCTTAAAGTGCTATATGAATGTTATCTACAACTACTGTTATTATTGTCATTGTTTCATGAATGAGGGGTGGCTGGTGCAAAGTGAGGGGATGGGAAGTGGAGCTTTGTGTAGGAGGAAGAGTGAAGAGGTTAGTGAGGTTGGAACCAAGAGTGGGTGAAGGGGAGTCAGGTAGGTTGGAGACAACTTTGAAGGGCTCCAAAAGCCAAACAAAGGAGGAAGTAAAACTCAGTTGCCCTAAAGGAAGAGCTTTCTAAACATTTGAGCTATTCAGAAGTGGAAGGGTTTGCTTCAGGAGGTAGGGACAGGTAGTCACCTGAAGAGTCTAAGTGGAGTCTGGGAAGCCATCTGCCAGGGACATGGTGGACAGGAGCCTAGACTAGATGGACTTCCAAGGTCCCTTCCAGTGTGAGGGGATGTGACTCTAAGTAATTGGCAAGGACAGTGAACATTGTAGGAGAGAAGACAGAAAGAGCAGAGGGGCAAGAGAGGGTCCCTGGAGGAAGCGGGCCTTCCATCAGCAAGGGATCACACCCTTGGGCTTCTGTCTCCCATAGTACCTGACAGCTTGTCTCGTGTCTAATGTAGTGAGGTGATGTAGTGAACAGAGCTTTGGGCCTGGGCAGGGGAAGAGTCAGGAAGACATGAATTCAAATGCCACCTCAGGCATTTATTGGTTGTGTGACTGTGGGCAAGTCATCTGCCTTCTCTGGGCCTCAGTTCTCTCATCTGTAAGATGAAATAATAGCTGGCATTTATATGGTGCTTTAAGATGATCTCATTTGATCTTCATAAGGCCCCTGTGAGGTAGGGGCTATTACTAGCCCAAGTTGTAGGTGAAGAAACTGAGTTTGAGAGGAGTTGTATGACTTAGCCAGGCTTATTAGCTTTCAAGTGACTGAGTCAGCACCTAAACTCCAAGGCCATCCTTCTGCCCCTTGTGCCACCTAGTCAGGTAATAATAGCCCCTACCTCAGAGGGTTGTGACAATGATGCAGCAAAGTAGTAGATGTAACTTGGACTGAAAACTTTAAAGTGCTACGTAAACACTGGTGATCGTATCCAGCAAGTGCTTAATGTTGAGTTGTTTTTCAGTTATGGCTGACTCTTTTTTTTCTTGGCAGAGATACTGGAGTGGTTTGCTGTTCCCTTCTCCAGCTCATTTTATGGATGAGGAAACCGAGGCACATGGGGTTAAATGACTTATTTGCCCAGGGTCTCCCAGCGGGTAAGTGTCTGAGGCCGGATTTGAACTCACAAAGACGAGTCTTCCTGACTCCAGGCCCAGTTCTATCCACTATGGCGCCACCTAGCTGTCCAAGGTACTCAGTGGGGACCTATTTAGGATCATTAGGGCTGTAATGGACCCTAGAGATCATTTAGCCCAAACACCCCCTGACACACTGATTTAATCCAAAGCATGTTTTTTCGTTGAATCTTGCCATGTTCCCCAAGCCTCCAGACTGTTTATGTCTCCTCATTCCGCCGAGGCCTCTGTAGGACAGTTTCTTTTAACACCTGTTCTGTTACTTTTATGAAGTGTGCTCAAGCACAGAGTTACCAGATGGGGATTTT